TATGAAATATTAAGTGTGGTGGACTTAGTAGACTCTTCCTGAACAGAGGTTGGGAATTTTATAGACTTCAGTATTCATTTCTTTGTGTGTGTGATGAGTCTTTCTCACATGTATTTAATCTGTATAATAATATCCACTCTAGCCTAGGGAGCACAATATGAACACCCATCCATTGGGAGCTGTAACTTTCAGATACCAGACCTCATGTTTATCCAGCTTCTTAAATCATGGTCTGCAGAATGTTCCAAACCAAAAGAGAGAAGCTAAGTATACTCTGAAAACATTCCTTGTCCAAGAATTAAAAGCTTCAGCTGTGTGGGTTTGTGATGCTCTGACCTAGGTTGACCAGAGTGAGTATTTTCTCCTGTGGAGGACTTTTTAGATATCTTGTAAGTATATTAAAGGAATTGTTTTATCTTTTAATGTATATTAAAATGACTAAGGCTTCAAAAATATTAATTACTTTTGCTTACAAGGAAGAGATCTGAGAGTGATAATTTTAGTACCACTGACTGTTATGCCCGATAATGTAAGTCTCTGTAAAACCCTGTTTGTGAAACTGTATGTTTAATTTCAGGACTGTGGTTTTTGTGTAGAATGTAAGTACACAACTTTAAAAAGGACGCCACAGTTCTGTTTGGTATTTCAATTGTATTAGTATCAACGCTTCATTTCTCATTGGTGACTAGAATTGGAGCAGCAGATGCAGCAGATAATCCTGAAACTTCATTTTTGATAAAATTGAAACTTCCCAGACCTTTATCATTCACTTTCTTGGTTTGGTTGTCAGTCAGGTTAGTGGCGAGCTGGAGGAGAAGAAATGGTAATGAGAATCGAGGCAGTCATGGGGCTGCATAGTCTGGGGGGTCAATAGCATTGAAGTCTCAGGAAGGGTAGGTTACAGGCAACTTGTGAGATGTGCTTTTTGTCAGCCTCCTGTACCATCTGTTTTCACTGAGGTAGCATAGCAAAAACCTCTTAGATTTATGTCATTAATGTACCGCAAATATTTTCCTTTAACAATCCAGTGATTTGTACTGGAGATTTGAAAGCTGCTAGGTAAATTGATCACAGATTACTAAGTTAGTTGACAGGCTTGGCCATTCTGCTTACTTAGCTGGAATAGTAGGGATGCTTTGTAACCTTCCTGTTAAAAAAAAAATTGCATGCGTGCATTGGGGGTATCAGCCAGAAGCTGACTTGACTATTTCTCTAGTTGTGTGACACCTACCAGGACCCAGAGCCACACAACCACCCCTGCTCCTGGTTCTCCCAAGGCACGGGTTCTCAGCAGTTTTGGCCCCTGGGGGTAGAAGTTGGAGCTGGCCCAAATATCTTACTCTTTTTATGTATTAAAGCACAGTATATACACAATACATAAGTAGATACAAGTTGTATTTGTGGCGTTAAAATTTCATGGAGTGGTAATTAGGAAAAATGTCTAAAAAGGTAAGAGGCGTGGGAGAAATAATGAAAAATAATTGAAAAGCACTGCTGTTGCTCTATCCCAGTGATTTTCAACCTTTTCATCTCATGGCACACATAAACTAATTAATAAAACTCTGCAGCACACCAAAAAATATATCTTTTGCCAGTCTGACAGAAAAATAGGTATAGTTTTGATTCATTCACATTGGACAGCTATTGTTGTGTTGGTTATTGTCATTTTTTTTGTTTGGCAATCTAAGGGAAAAGAGGTCAGTGCCCCTGACTAAATAGTCAGGTATTGCATAATTTAACAATTTTTGTGGGGCACAGGCTGAAAAATCTATCTATCTAGATAAAACTTGAGAGAGGGAACAAAATAGTTACATTAAAAGAACTAAATTGGAGTAATTATCACCACGGTAAGGAATAACAAAGCTTGGGATCAGAAGATGTTAGATGGCCTCTGTGGGAATGGGGGTGGTGGTGGATCTAAGCCCTCCTTCATGAGTGGTTGTCTGGGTCTGTCTCTCAGGAAAATAATAAAGTTGGTAAACTCTGCCTTTGATCTTCTTAAAGCCTCCTGCTAACAAAAACTACATTTAGCTAGCTGTTTAATGGGAAAGCTTGTTATAAGCCAGTTTTCACGAAGGTGAAAATGACTGATGATAAATTGAGGTGTTATTATTTTCAGGGGCACTTGTATTTGAGCAGTGGGCCCTCCTCAGTGTGAGAATGTAGCAGAGGCTTAGGTACGCCAACAGGCCTGACCCATGGTTCCCACAGGGGCCTGAAGAAATGATTGCACTGGGTCTGCAGAAGCACATATCCAGCAAGTATCATCTCTAGCCATAGTAAAGAGTGCTTCACAAACACATGCACAACTGTTTTAAAAATGTGTGCAGGGGCATATATTATGAATAGAATATAAACAAAAAGTATTACTGAATATATAATGCTTCATTATTATTATTACCTACTAGAGGCCCTGTGCACAAAAATTTGTGCACTCAGGGGGGTCCTTCAGTCCGGCCTGTGCCCTCTCGCAGTCTGGGACCCCTCGGGAGATGACCACCTGCTGGCTTAGGCCTGCTCCCTGCGGGGATTGGGCCTGAGCTGGCAGTCAGACATCCCTCTGGCAGCCCGGGAGCCCTTGGGGATG